AATACTCTCTGACTGCAGATCAATTACTCACTGTCTACACACACATTATCCCGTCACGTTGTCACCCTCTTATATATATATACCAGACTATCCTATATCTTGTAATCTCCCGACTATTCCCGAAGGTTCGAGAGGTGGCGTGACACTAGTCACGTGACCTCGCTGACGCAACAGTATTTTAAACATAAACAGGGAAATTTTATTAGCTAGTTTAAAAATAATTTATATTCCAATATATCATAATATTGAAAGAATAAGATTATGTTAACAACTTCAACCAGAGGAGCTGCTAAAACTGTACAATGATAATTAAGTTTAATAATAAATAGTTTCTATTACCATTCTGCCGTAAGTCATCAGTTAGGTACCATCGCTACTAGCGGGGTTTTCGTCCCTTAACCCAAGAACAATCGGTTACATGCTTAGAGAAATTACCAGGCAACGAATCAGAAGTGTCACATGTAAAGCTTCACATACAAGGTATATCACGTTATTCCTACTTAGAAACATTTAAAGCTATATATATATTAATCTACTTAGTACTATAAATAACTAAAATATATTGAATTACTTGTAAAGTAGCTTATAAAGGGAACAAACCAAAGGTGACCAGTTCTTAAAAACGGAAGGTTAATTTAACAAAAGTTAACATAGAATTTGAAGAAAGTCGGAGATGACATTTATATTTTAAATATCCGTGGTATAATAAATGCTTAGAATTATGTTAAAGTATTTATGAGCAGGATAAAAGAAGTTATTTATGTCCTTCGGCGACTGTGTTTATATGCGATCTAGACAGGCTTAAACGGTTGACCCAGCATAACATTTGGTGAAGATGAATAAAATGACAAGTGTGAATGGTTAAATGCTTAGGTTTTTATTGTAGTATATACAGCTAGGATTAAGAAAGTTAACAATATTCTGGACTGACTCTGTTAATTATACAATTTATGCTACTTATGCGCTTTCTACTATAAAAATGTAAAAGAAAAAAGTATATAGGGATCCTTGGAATAATGTAAGAAACGTCACATCATAAAAGTAAATATTTAGTTTGAGAATACTACCATCACTTCTTCCTTTTTTAATTTCTTATAAAATTGCGAATTTATGGATATAAATAGTCAAGGAGTTTTGGCCATCTTTAATATTAAAGATAAAAATACAACCTCACAATGGATGATCTCGTTCAACATAGGGCGGGCTTGACCAGGTGGTTAGGGCACTTGACTCGCAATCTGAGGGTCGCGGGTTCGAACTTGCTCGCCCTTTCAGTTGTTGGGGCTTTATAACGTGACGGTCAATCCCACTATTCGTTGATAAAATTTTGTTTGTTTTTAATTATGCACAAAGCTACACAAGGGCTATCTGTGCTCTGCCCACCACGGGTATCGAAACCCGGTTTCTAGCGTTATAAGTCCGCAGACATACCGCTGTGCCACTGGGGGGCCCTGAAGAACGAAGGTCTACCTTTTGAGAGCGTCCGTTTTATGGATTTCGTATTATGTTATCCAACTATTTTATTCAGATTTTTCAATAAATCAGTATTCTATGTAGAACAGTTTGGTTTGAATTTAACGCAAAGCTACACGAGGGATATTTGCATTAGTCATCCTTAACTGCGCAGTGAAAAACTAGAGGGTTAACTCTTGGGCTACCCGTTCTTCAGGAGTGAATTGTGTATCCAAGATATTGGGTTTTTTAATTTATGATTCATCTTATTTTTGACCAGGCGTGATTTCTTAGCATCATAAAACAGTTTTATTATTTTGATATAAACTTTCATAATTTCCTCTTTTCATCTTATTCTCGCACTTCACCTCCATTGCATCATTCTACCTTTGGTCCTGATGAAGATCAGGTTTTGAATTATATTAAAAATGAAAAGTTTCGTGTTAGTCTAAATTTTATAAGCCATGTGAAGTTGTGAAACCGCTAAATGTAAGATAACAGATTTATTTCTGTACAACATTTCGTCTTTAATAGTGAGACATGATCTCAAACAACACATAAGGTACGGATACATCCATTCTGATAATTTTGTTTATAATACCAGCTACCTCTGGTTTAAAATGTAACTTAATATAATATATATTTTAGATCCACCAGATGGCACTTTCCCTAATATATTTCTATACGATCCACATCGATATTGCCCTCGGTTCTCTGTGTAAGTAAGGTGATGTAGAATCTTTTGTGATCTCGTATTAATATAGTTTAAAACATATAAGAAATGGTACTTAATTTTCATTTGAATATTTATGGTTAGTTTTAGGCCTTTATTTTCGAAGTATTAGTGAGTTTATAACATATTCTGATAATTTGCTTTTCGTAGAAAAAGGGTCATTTAGGTTAGGCCTATTTCAAGTAATATGCTGTTATGACCGAAACTGATTTACATTTTTATCTTAACATAAAGACAACAAGGAACCATTTGGTTCTTTAGGACTTTTCTTGCATACCAACCCTTAAGAAAAGTAAAGATTTAAACCCACCCTTAAATATTTAGGAAATTATCGATTTCTCTCTTACTCTTGGCTCTAATTTCTAAACTTCCAACAATCCAAGTTAAATTCACTTGGAGTTGGGCTTGAAATTCTACCCTTCACTACAGTTGAAAGTAATTCATTCTATAAGCCAGTCAATCACCCTGTTACTGTTAGAAATATCTGTAACAGTTAAGTGAGCTAAAACTAGAAGGATTTTTGGATTTAATTCAAAATGCTACTTTAGTACAGATAAATCAAGTATGTATGTATGTTTACACTAAATTATTCAACCTCGTGATTCTTTGTGGCCCTTAATTTAAACCCAACATACTGATTGCTTAGTAAAAGTTTTATCTAATTATGGACAGCACATCTCATAACTATTCACTTTGAATCATCCTCGTTAAATATTTTGAATCTTATAGAGGTATAAATAGAAGTTAAAGGTACACAGGATTATTTGATCCAGCTTGGCTGTCTTGTTTGTTAAACTATGCACAGGATTATTTGATCCAGCTTGGCTGTCTTATTTGTTAAACTATACACAGGATCATTTGATCCAGCTTGGCTGTCCCATTTGTTAAACTATGCACAGGATCATTTGATCCAGCTTGGCTGTCTTATTTGTTAAACTATACACAGGATCATTTGATCCAGCTTGGCTGTCTTATTTGTTAAACTATGCACAGGATCATTTGATCCAGCTTGGCTGTCTTATTTGTTAAACTATGCACAGGATCATTTGATCCAGCTTGGCTGTCTCATTTGTTAAACT